GGGGTCAGCACAGTGGGGTCCCACGCAGACCCAAACGGGACCTCGCCATCCTTGGGGAGCTGCGAAGTGTGAATTTGTCGCCACTTTCGACGGCTGCTGACGAGGGCCAGCACATTGGGGTCCCACACAGACCCAAACGGGACCTCGCCATCCCTGGGGGGCCGCGAAGTGTGAATTTGTCGCCACTTTCAGGGGCTGCTGGGGGAGCCAGCACAGTGGGGCCCCACTCAGACCAAATTGGGACCTCGACAGCCCTGGGGGGTGCGAAGAGTGAAACAGTCGCTACTTTCGACGGCTGCTCGGCTCAAGCGTTGGCGCTTTGGACGGCAGCCCACGTTGATCCGCAGGTGCTGGTGCTTCGGCCGCCTAGATGCTGGCACCAACACCACGATCGGTGCTACTTCACCGAGGGAAGATAATCCCCATCTCGGCCCCAAGTGTCGTCCCTGGCTCGGGGGTGATCATCCCGCGCGGCTAGCGTGAGGTCCGGAGGAGGCGAAAATCTTGGGAGGTCGCGTTCAGTGCCTCGCCGTCCTCTTCCGCTCCGTCCTGCCTCCTCACCCGATCTCCCTCTCCCCCCGTCGACGTCCTCGTCCTAGACCCTCTCTTCAAAGGAGGAAATACCAGCCCGATCGCCAGACTTGGCGTTCACTCATCGTTCGGGGGCGGCAAAGAGGGGGGGGATGACTAGGGGGGTGGATATCATGGCGGGGGCCATGATATTTCCCCAGATTTCATGGCGCCTCTTCTTATTTCATCACGTCCCTGCCCCCCACCGCTGGGCCGCGCACGTGCCGCCGGTCATGATGTGCATCCCCCCCTCTTGGACCCCCCCCCTCTCGGCCGCTCCCGAATCGTCCCTGGGATTCCACCGAACAGCCCTGCCCTGTTCTGGGTGCGCTTGCCAAGGGGCAGGTGCGGCGCCGCCCTCGCCCCCCGCCAGCGTCGCTCGCGGGTGCGGTTCTCGGCGGGAGGGCACGGGAGGCTCACCGCCGTCCTTCGTGGCATCGTCCAGGCACCTGGACCGCTCGTGGGGTGGCGTTCCTCTCCCTCGAGTCGTCGGGCGACGCGCTGGATGCCTTCCTGTCTGATCATAGTACGGGTTGCCACGTCGCCATACTGCCAGCATCCTGTCCGCCTCTTTCACCATCACCATCAATTACCATCATACTCTTCACCGCCATGTTCAGACACCAAGCGCCACCATACAGCAAACCAAAACAACAAATCAGCAGCATCATCATCACCATCACCATCATCAGCATCATCATCACCATCACCATCATCAAGATACTCATCCTCATCATCCTCACCATCATCATCATCAACATCATCATCATTATTATCATCATCAGCATCATCATCATCAGCATCATCATTGCCGCCATCATCATCAGGACCATCATCATTATCACCATCATCATTGTCGTCGTCGTTGCCGCTTTCGTCATCACCACCATCCTCAGCATCAGCATCGTCATCAGCATCATAAGCATCATCAGCATCATCACCATTGCCATCATCATCATCACCATCAGCATCAACACCATCAACACCAACATCATCGTCATCATCACCATCATCCTCATCAGCACCAGAACAGTCGTGGCCCTCTGGGAACAACCAGCAACTGCCCACTCGAGAACTGCCTGGCGGTTAGCGTATCCGCGGGCTGGGGCGTCATTGGCAATTGATTCCTCCGTTTGTTAGACGTCGCCCGCCACGACATTGCCCTGTCCCAGAGTCAGCTCGATGCCATGATCGAGACGTTGGACGCTGTCTTCTCCGACGGGCGAATTTTCAGCCCGCTGCAAAGCGGCGTCTCGCCTGCGTCTGGAGCCTCTTCCGAGTCCCAAGCTTTGGCGAATCATCTTCCGCATGACGACCCTGCGGTGGAGATAAGGCTTCTACGTTGGCGGCATTCCGATTCTATTCTGGAAGTGGCCTCCGCTTTTGTGCAGGGGCGAGCTCCTCCGAAGAGTGTAGAACGTCGTTGAGCTCACCAAGAGTCGGCTCCTCGCCGACTTCCCCAAAGCAGATGTGCGTTACGAGGAAGATGCTGTTGCCTGGCGTCGCACAGCTGGCAGAGCTCCTGCAGCCGTGCTGCAGTTCCGCAACGTCGCGCCGTGCATGCTGGAGCAGCTGGCGGACGGCATGCCCCTGGCGGCGGAGACGCACCATCCAGCCTGGCCCATCTCCTCGACGATGTTTTCCAGGCAAGAGCTTGTTCTCGCAGGTTAGTCTGGGGAGGCGGGGCGGCCGTTATCCGAATGATGATCCGTTGCTATATTTGGAAAGAAGACGGGGAGCGCACAGTGGAGAGTGATGTCGTACACATTCGCAGCTCAATGCTCGAGCTCCGCGCGGACTCCGTTACGTTTCACGACGACCGCTTCGCGGCGAAGATCATGGCCCCCCGCGACGTTGCAGAGTTCGATCGCGATGACGTCGGGAGGGATGCCTTGACGTCTTGTCCACAGGAGTGCGCGTGCCTCTGGCGCTGGCTTCACGGCGCACGGTTTGTGGAGCGAGGGAGGAGGCGGAGGAGAAGGAGGCGGAGGAGGAGGAGGAGGAGGAGGAGGAGGAGGAGGAGGAGGAGGAGGCGATGGAGGAGGGAAAGCGAAAGGAGAGAAGAAAAGAAACGTGGTCTCTGCTGGGCCGCTTGGCCGAGCCACGTGCGGCGCCCCGTCCGCGGCTTGCCCCGCAGTTGCTGCGAGACGGGCGCGCCGGAAGGCGGACTCCGCGCGCGCTGGCGCTGGGTTGTCGCACGGCGCTGCGTGGAGCGATGCCATGGCGAGGTTCGACGAGGTCCTCCCTCCTCCTCCTCCTCCTCCTGCTCCTGCTCCTGCTCCTCCTCCTCCTGCTCCTGCTCCTGCTCCTCCTCCTGCTCCTGCTCCTCCTCATCCTCCTCCTCCTCCTGCTCCTCCTCCTGCTCCTCCTCCTCCTCTCCTCCTCCTGGCGTCATGTGGGCCCGAGCAGGGCTGGGCAGCGCATTCATGAATGCGCCCCGCGTGCACTTGGCGCCCGACCGCGGCGACCGAGCCGCGCCTCTGGCGGGCGCGGAGTTTCACTGCGAGGTGGCAGGACTCGGCCTCTGTGCAAAGTGCTCCGCTGTGTTGCCAGGTGGGGACAGGGCGGCGCCGCTGCGCGATCGCAGGCCTGGTGGCGGTCAGCGACTGGCTGTTATGCACGATGTGGGCAAAGAATTAACTAACACTCTGATTGGTAAGGCCTTACGGCCGCCGGCCCTGGAGGCCTCGGCGTCCAACGGAAATGGGAGGGAGAGGGCGGGCTGGGCCCAGGAGGGACCCAGGTCCACCCCCCGGGACTACCCCGGGACCCCCCCCCCCCCTGGGGAGCTCCCGGGCCCCCCCACCACCTCCACAGGGAAGGGATCAAAGAGAAGGGGCTTCCTCAGACTCAATGACAGCGTTGCTAAATTTCGCTGTGGGTGGAATGGTGAATTTCGCTTTGGCTGGCGTGCTTGAGGACGAGGGCCCAAGGAAAGGGTGGGAGCGGCGACGCACTCAGGGGAAGGAGGGGACGTGATGGCGGCGGCGACGCGACGGCGGCCGCAACGGCGATGGCGACGGAACAGCCCCTGTCACACGCCGACAGGGTCGGCGGATTTCTATATGCTGTGGCTTTGGACACTGGCACCGCCGCGCAGTCTGCCCTCACTTCCGCGGGGTTTCATTCCAGCCGCGCGCCGCCCAGCGAGTGCGTCCGACGCGAAAGGGCTTTGGCCAAGCGGGCCGCCTTCTCTGCCAAGCCGCGCCAGCCAGATCTAGATCCTCATGGTTGCGCGGCTCGTCGCCGTCTGTCCCGCGCGCAAGGGTCCATGATCAAGGTCTCTGGTGCGGACTCATCCCGTGCTTCTGGCGCGGTGCCGCTGGAGAGTCTTCGGGGCGTCGTGGTTCGGGTGTACTCTTGCGCGCAGAGCGCGACACGAATCGGGGCCCAAAGTGTTCGCCACCGACGGACCGGTTCAGCGCGCGTGATGCGCACAGTCGAAACAAGTACCTCCGAATAAGTAAACAGGACAACCCCCGAAGTAAACAGGACCACCTCAAACAGTAGACAGCACCACCCCACAAGTCAACAGGACCACCCCAACAGTAAACAGGACAGCGCCACAAAGCAACAGGACCCTCTAGGACCACGCCCAACAGTCAGCAGGACCCGCCAACAAGTAGACTGGGCCACTTGAAAAGTAATCAGGACCACCCCAAAAGTAAGCAGAACCTCCGAAACAGTACACAGGACCATCCAAATACATTGGCAGGGCCACTCTACACATTGCACAGGACCATCCGAGAAGTGAACAGGACAGCCAAACAAGTAAACAGCACCACGCCGAAAAGAAACAGACCACTCCAATACACGTATAAATGACCATGCCACCATCACCATCACGCCATTTAGATCGCATGCCAGGATCATTTCCATCACGTTCTTCTACCGCCGCATCGATCTTACAATCATTACCAACAACTCTTTGACGCATTGTCACCACTGTCCTCTGATCACATTCACATCGCCACGAACGCCACTATCACCATCATCGTCTGCACCACCATCATCCGTATGATCATATCACCACCACCACCACTGTTGCCACATCACATTCGCCAGTAGTGTTTTCAACATCGCAATCGTCAGCGTCGTATTCCGAATTTGTCGCCAATGCCGCCGCCACCACTCTTGTTATCCACGTGCGCCGTCGTCGATATCGACAGCGCAGCCATGACCAACGTTGCCATCGACATGACTGTCGCCCTCATTGTCCTCAACCTCGTTTTTGTCGTCATGGTCACGCCCGCCATTGCCGGCATCGTTTCAACAGAGGGTCCAAACATAATGGTCGACCCCTTGGTAGATGCAGCATCCTCCTGCTCGTTCCTTCTTTCGCCGTCGTCGTGGTCGTCGCCGTAGTGCCGCGACCGCCGCCAGGTGTCGTGCGACACGGACGGGACCCAGGACGCCACGGACGTCACCAGGCAACGTTGCTGTGCCGAAGGGGTAAGGCAGTGAGCTGAACCGAGGAGGGGGGAACACGGCGCCCGCCGCTGGCCAGCGGTTGGCGGCGGTCTGCGCCGCCGCCGTCGAGTGACCGATTTTTTTGTTCGGGCGGCGCGCGGTGCCATGGAGGCAGCCTGGCGCTGTGCGATCGGGGGTGGCGGCCGGGCGGGGCGCGACGCGACTGGAGAGCGGGGGGGGGGGGGTCGCGCCCAGATTGTGGGGATCTGTCGAGCAAGGTGCTTGTTTCAACAACCACAGGGGCAGCCGCCATTCAGAGCCCCATGATCACCGTGATGGAGCAGACTACGAATCTTTCAACCCTAAATAATCACAGCGGGGCCTGCCAGGACGTGAGCTTCACATATGGGGAGATCCGCGTCGAGTAGTCACTGCCGCATGCCCACGAATTGGGGAATTCGCCGGCGGTTCAGACAACCTCACGGAGGATGGCCGCCGCCCTGATTTAGCCCCCCCACCCCCCTGACCAACCCCCGAGACATCCGAGACCGTCTTTCGGGCGACATCCCAGGCCATCTCTTTCGACGCTGCTGTGGCCCAGGAGAAGACGCCTGCGGGCGGCGAGGGCGCCCAGACCCACGGCGCGATTTCTGGAGGCCCCCCATGTGAGGCCGTGGCCCCAGAGGTACCCGCGGTGATGCCGACGTGGTCCCCGCCATGGAGGGGGGGGGCCCTCGACGAACCCCTCAGGGCGCAGGAGGCGGGGGCACTGCAGACGGGGGACATGGTGGGTCCCTGCGAGCGGTTTTCTGTTATTGCAATGTGCGTTTCTTTGGTTCGGGCGTTCTTACCCGACTTCGCTTTGAATAGAAGTCTATGACGGCATTCGTGCCGTTGGCTTTTGGTTTCCAGAAAGTTTCGCATCGCAGTCGTTAAGGGAACTGTCTTGGAGACGGTGAGCCTCGCTGCGACTTTGCTTTCTGCGCGTTGGTCGCCACAGGTCGTGCTGGCTTCTCGTTAAGGTGTGAAGGGTGCGAGGGGTTTGGGGCTGGCGGTAAAGGAAGACATTACATGCAGAGATTCTCCCCCGCAATGCAGATTTTGTTGTTCACTGGCTATGCCCGGGGGCCTGCCAGTTGCGGACAATCCGTCTTAAGCAGCTGACGAATTGCAGCGGAATTTGTTTCGATTCAGGTTGTGCTGTGCTGTTTGCGCGCTCTCCTCAGAGCTGGCCGGCTCCGAAATAGGGCTTCTGCCACAGGACTTGGCGAAGCTTTTGCAGTACCTGGGCGGTGTACAATCGGGCTCCAGGCGAGACTTACACGCTGTTCGCCACGTCGACCCACTCCCCAGGGTCTCTCTGGGCCCGCCTATGCTGCGGGAGGGCGACATGCGCTTCCACCAGACAAGGACCACGTGCCATGTGGTGCGACAGCTCCACGTGCCAGCGCGGGCCCTTCACTGTTGACGGTGGTTCATGAGTGGACCGCGAAGTCCGTGACACCTTGGCCAACAGCAGGCAGGCGGCGTACAGACCAGGCAAGCCGTGTCGGTGGCACTGCGCCCGCTGCTTCAGAGACGTTCTGGCCGAACAGAACGTAGAGGTCCCAGAGCAAGTCAAAGTTGACACCTTCTTGCACCGAGACGCGCAACAACCACGAAGCCTGAATGCGTTTGACAAGCGCCCCGTGCCCACGCACTGCAGCGTCCCCAAGCCAGATGCCACCAATCTCCTTTTTGAAGACCTCCTCCCGGACCTTGTTGGCCAGCATGATCCGCTCTCTGGGCACTGGGCACCACGCTCCCATCTAAGCAGACGGACGATGACCATATGGGTAGGCGAGTTCACACGGGCGTCTGGAGCGCCGTGTGCGACGGCTGCCCGCTGACCAAACCGCTGTTCCCCTGGAATCTCGGCGACGCACCCAAAGGAATGTTTGCATTCGCCCGGCGGCCGTTCCTACGCTCAGCGAGCCCACGGTCCTCGGCTTGCCCGCCTGCCAGTCCTGGCCCCAGGATTGCCGGGCCAAGCGGTGGAACGCCAGCTGGTGCAGCGAGCGATGCCTGGCCCGCGTCTGGGATGCTCAGCCCTCTGACGTATCTGGATCCCTGGCGCGAGACGGCCATTGCCTCAGATTTCCTTCTTCGCCAGCCCTGACTTGCCCGTGGCGGCATGCGCGCGCGTCGCCAGGGGCGCCCTGGATGACGTGATGATGGGCAGGGCAAACCAGAAGGCGCGACCCGAGGTGGGGGCGCTTCTTGCCGAGGCTGGATCCGCCCAGCGCGACGCTCCAGCGTCCGACAAGCGCGAGCGCGCAGTGCTGGCCTTCCGCCGAGCCTGGGCGGCCCGCCTTCGCGATGCGAGTTGAAGCGGTTCCCCCGTCGGTTTCCCTTGGCCGCGGTCGCGAGAGCCCGCGCGGCAGCCCCCGGAGCAGCTCCGCCAGGGGGGTGCCCTTTCAGCGCGGCAAAGCAGCAAGCGCCGCGCGCCCCCAGCCCGAGCTATTCGCCAGGAGAGCCGCGAGTCAGGGGGCGTCGCCGAGGGCGGCAGGGGGGCAAGAGCCGCCAGACACAGGGGCCAGCTGCGCCAGAGCGAGTTTTTCAGGGCGTGGAGCCCGCCCCTGCCCACCGCGCGCCCGCAGCCGCAGCCCCCCCATACCTGCTAACCGCACCTTGGAACTCCACGCGCTGAGCGGCCTGGACCTGGCGCGGCTGGCGCAGTCCAGCCGTGCCAACTACGGCGCGGCCGTTAGCCGGCGCTGGATCAGCTTGTGCACCCGCAACCTCAGGTAAGGATCCGCGGCTTCCCGAGACGCCCCCGCTGCCGCCCCCCGCGGTTTCTTGGGGGCCCTGTGGGAAGACGACCACGTGGATTCCAGAGGGTACGGATCGCGACAGCTGGGCTCGGGCCACCGTGGCTCGCCAGTGCACGCTCGCGCACCTGGTCAGCTGCGTCGTCGAAAAGGATGCATGGCAAGGGGGTCCTGGCGGGCGCTCGACCCCGCACTTGCAGACGCGGCGCGGAAGCTGCCAGTTCTGCTCAACGCCGACGCGCTTCTCGGATTCATCCGCGGCCTCGGAGAAGAGCCCTTCGCGGAGTGTCCGCGGCTGGATGGCGACCCCACCTGGCCCGCCCCGAGTTGCCGAACGACTCCGAGTGCGTCGCCCCCCCGCTCGCGCCCGCCTGCGCGCTCTCAGACGCCCTCCGTGACCTGGCGCCCATGCTGGCCCAGGGCGCGCGCGCCCATGGTGCCCCGCGCCCTGCCGACGGTTTTTTGGGCGCCCCGATCGTGCAAGATGGGGCGCAGTTCGCCCTGAAGCTTGGCGACGGTGCCCAGGCAGCATGGGCCGCGCGGAGCGACCCGGAGCATCAGCTGCAAGCCCCAGACGGAGCCGAGGGCGCGCCGGCGGCACTTCTCCCGCGGCGTCGGTCCGAGGCCGACTGCCTGGAGTTCCTTGGGACTTCTTGCGGCGACGAGACCCCAGGGGACGGCGTTCGCGCCGGCTGTGGAACGGTCGCCAGGCCGCGCGTCGACACGCGGCGGCGCCGCTCCTTGGCAAAATATGCGAATCGGGGCCTCCCGAGGCCAGATAGCCGGCAGTCCTTCGGGGGGCCTCTCGGGCCCTCTGAGGGGGCTCTTGGGGGCCGCTCGGGGCAGCGTGGGCGCTTCTTGGGGCCGAGGGTGGGGCGTTGCCGCGTGGCTTCCTCCTCCTGGGCCTTTTCTTGGGGCCGTCCTGGGGCTCTTTCTGTCTGTTCTGGAGGCCTGTGGGGCCGTCTTGGGGCCCTTCGGCCGTGGCAGGGTTTTCCTTGGAGCCTCTTGGGCCGTCTTGGAGCGACCTCGGGGGATTCCCAGAGGGTGGATCCGCGCATTTTATGGTAAAAACGCGCATTTTTACAAAACATGCGCATCTGCGCGTTTTGCCCCCCTCGTCCGCGCATCCGCGCATTTTTCGCGGGCGTTGATCGCGACGGGCAGTCTGGGAAAAATGCGAAGATGACAGCGACGATCTGCGCATTTCAACCCGGCAGAGGAAAAGCAAAATGCGCATTTTGACCCGCTTGCGCTTGTGACGTACAACATCTGTTAATACAAAATGATGATATGATGATGCCGATGATGTTGGCGATCTATATATATATATGTATATATACATCATAATATCGCATATGTAACTGTAGTATACAATGATATATATATATATATATATTACATACACTTAAACCGATATGTTGCGCCTCACATCATATATGTACATGCGGCCGATACCTTATATATGACGTGAGGCCCTAGGGCAAGGACTTGGTGGGCCGAGACCCTATGGGCCGAGACCCCATGGGCGCGCGACAGAACAGGGCGCCCGCCCGAGCCACTGCGAGGAGGAGGAGGAGGAGGAGGAGGAGGAAAAATAATCGGAACAAGAGGACGTTCCTCCCGTTTCTCCCCGCTCTCCCCATCTTTCTCTCTTTCTCTCTCTTTCTTTTTCTCTCTCTGTCTGTTTTTTGCCTTCGTGGCGGCTCAACGACGCGGTCCTCAGACGCCGCGAGGCGGTTCCCTATTGGGGGCACTGAGATCAATGGCGGGTGGCTGCTTAAGCGTGGACGTCCAGGCACAGCATCGCCACGGCGTCGGGGTCTGTCTCATCCATCGCCGCGTCCCCGTCCCGATACAACGGGACCCACCACGTGGCATGGGCCGCGCCCGCCACGCGGGGAAAACCCAAGCATCGGATGGTTGCTCGCCTGGGTGGGGCAACTCGGCCCAGCACGGCGCCCACCAGTACCGCAACCACTCGGTGGCCCCAGGGGCCACGCGAGAGGCCGCGGTTTGCCACCGTAAGGGCGCGACCCCGCGTCGCCGTCGCCACGCCCGATTGCACGGGCAGCCCGTTGGCCACATCCCTGGGCGGTGCCACAGGAAGTGGGCCGCCCCGCGGGCGAACCACACGGCCCGCACCCCATCGAGGTGGGGCGGGTACACCGGGTCCGCCATGACCGCCACCCGTGCGGGGGAGGGCCATGGCG